AGCCAAACACTGTAACTGCCTAGTCTTCCATTAGCTCAGTGCCTGAGGGTAGGTTTACTTTTCAGGGCCTGATCTATGTTTCTCTATAAACTATCCCTCGGATCTTCCATATGGTTCACAGGCGATATGTAGGAGTATTTTTTGTTTATAGGACCAAACTGATTGAGGCTTACTAAGGTTTTCAGCACGTTCTGATACATGTTTACAAAATTATGTGATAGCAAAGCCTCATTTAGCAAAGGATAGCTGGTGACAGAGAGTAGGCTCCTGCCTCCTTATGGATGCCTGCGGTTTTCTTAGAGACTTACTTAGCAATCAATCATCAGCTTACAGACCTTACTTACCTAGCTGTTTGTCACGTACTCTCATCATCTTCTCCTCTCAGAAAGTGTTCTACCTAATTAATGCAGCACATTCATTTGCTCAGCACCTATCCACTGAGAGTGTATTTTATACCAGGTGCCATTCTGGATATTCTCTCTATTCTGGAACTCCCAACCGTAACATTTTCTGGGATTTCTCCCCATTCATCCTAAACTAAGCAGAAATGAGATATCCGCACCCTCCTCACCCCCCATTACCATGTAAACACATTCCAAATATCTGAAACCATGCCAGAGTGAATTTTTTTTATAGACAAAAGCAAACAAAAATCCCTCCAAGACCAATTGTCCAGTTTTCTTAATAGTTTGCAAACAGTGCATGATGCGAGACAGCTGGTAGTTACAGAGTAAATCCAGAGTAAAGAGGACACAATTAATAAAATGGACCAATGTCTAAAGAAAACAATTATTGTTCTGACTCTAATAAGTAAAACATATCTATTCTAGAGAAGAACAGATGCTAATGCCCAGCAAATAAATTCTATTCAGCTGTTACTATAAAGGGACACTGTAAGATCATTTGTAGGAAAGAGTTAAAGCCGAGCTGATAATCATCACATATACTCATTTTTTTNGAAGGATGGATTATGGAGTCACAGGACATGTCCCCTCTTCCTGCTTACTTTGCCTATGCCCTGTGATTGCTTATATTCTTCAACTATTTGTAAAGTGTGACACTGGACAAGATCTCTGATTCCTATGTGTCCCATTTGACATTCTGGTTCTTTGTGTTAGCTCAGAGAATCACAACCAGCTTCTTTTTTTTTTTTTTTTTTTTTTTTTTCTCTCTCTCTCTCTCTCACACACACACACACACACACACACACACACACACACACAAATTCACACATATGCTCCTTACTGTGGATTATGAATAAGTGTATTTGAAAAATATTGACCCGGATAATTATCATTAAGAAAGCCCCATGTAATCAACAGATAAAAATACCCTCTAATAATCCCTGAGGTTTTTTAAAACTACTGAACAACTCCAAAGATCTTTGGATTCTCTCACATGTATTTTCTGATTCTTGCCTAGCAAGTAAGCCTCTTGGCTTTTGCAAGCCGAGACTGCTTCACTTCTCCAGTTGAAGCTAACACTGATGTCCTTCTCACATTAGACTATTCTGCCCATTGTGCTGCATCTTCTCTTACACAGATCTTTCCTGACTGGCCTCTTTATTCTCTAAATCTTATCCATTATGCAAGACCCAGGTCAAATTCTGGCTTCTCTGTAAAGCCTTTTCTGCTGGATTTAACCTAGAGGGAGTAGAACTCCTTATCGCTCATTTATTAATAGCATTAAATATACTGCCTTATATTAAGAGATCAAATAGGTCTTTAAAAAAAAAAAGCTTATAAATAGCTCAAGGTTTGAGACTATCTTTCACTTCTTTACAAGGCCTAGAACATTACAAAGCCTAGTTCAAATTAGCAAGAACTCAAGTACTTTTAAGACTTTTCTATAACACAACAGTTATGAGTTTTGAGATGCTAAGTAAATTAGAAGTATGCTGTGAGTGAAATGCAACTGTTGATTCAAAACCATCTAAAACTCACTGTATACAGTAACTCCTCTGGAGTGACGGGACTGGTGAAGATGGTGCGCAGGCATCGGAGGCAAGCTTCAATGAACTTCAGGTCTGGGGACAGTAGTCCTATTATTAAAAAATAGATTTGAGACTCATCCTTCTTTCAACCTGTATTTAAAACACTGCAAACTGATTCTAATGTTTCCTTGTATGAAAATGACTTCCCTACATACCTTGCAGTAAGGCAGGGATAATATGGCAATCTAGTAGAGACTTGACATTGTTTTCAGTACCCATAGCAAGACTTCCCAATACCACCGCACATTCAGTTTTCAGCTCTGTGCTTGAGGTTTCTTGCTGAAGCAAGTACAACAATCTAAAAAGAAGGAACTTGATAAACAGAAGAGACTAAAAAATTTAAAAGTAAATTAGCTGAAAGTGATGTGACAGAAAAAGGCTACAGATACACTGCACATACTAAAAATACGGTTGGTGAGCTTACAGATGCCAGGAAATGCTCATTTGTTTATGTCAGCTGCAAATTTAATAGAGGACTATCTGGGAAAATTCTAGAAGAGATTTTCTTAATTTTGATCAAAAGAACTATCATATAATCTCAGAGTTTATCAGAACTCTAAATCTGAAAGTTGTCCAGAAATGGTCTTTGTAGAAACAGCAGCACCACAGTACATTATCTGCCACGTCAGGGTATGAAGACTCCCAGTGCCAAGTGCTGCCGGATCTTACAATCAGACTAAAGATGGACCTTGGATATCCATAGTTGAGAGATCGCAGAGGTCTAGCCTGGAGGGAATATTCAGTCCTTGTGCAGTAATTCAAGCAAGGGAAGCTCTCTTCTTTCTCCAATGCTCCTATTTGAGGGGTTAGGGGATCCTCCCATTTCCACTCGAGCCCAGCCTGTCAAACAACTACTCCCCAAACTCTAATGAGCCACCACGTATGACCGTCTCCCCTATGTTCTAAGGTAGAGCCCTCATTCTCCCTAAAGCATATTTACACATACTGAACACTAATTCCCTAAGAAAGGCTACTGTGTGCTTTATGGTTACCAAAGTTGTAGACGCGTATTTGTAGTTAGTTATAATAAAAACAATACAACCACTAATCCTATATCAAAAGATAGAAAGAAAAGAGAAAAAAAAATATTTTAAGATTCTAAGTGAAAAGCTTACAGCAACTGCATATAAAACTTAGTTTTGAGTAGCAAAGGCAAACAGGAAGTTATACCACTGTTGCTGTCTGCCAAAATGGAGCTTATTAGGTTAGCAGAAGAAATCAAACTTTCTATGTTAACTTTAAAAACAGCAAATTCTAAAAATTAGTAAGAAAATCAGAATTTAAAACCAAGCACTTTTTTTTGTTTTTTTGTTTTTTTTAATTCAACAAGGGTTTTGAGAATCCTAAGAAACTATTATGCAATCATACAAAAACTGCCATGGCTCTGACAAGACAGGGGAGAAAGAATCGGGCTGCTGTGTATTGTCTGTCTTCCTGACACATCCTTTTATTGCAAGGAAGGCCAATGCTCTTCCTGAATTCAAAAAGTACTCATACATTTGCTTCATATTCCATTCTCTGGTGCTTTAATTTGTGGGGTTTTGTTTTTTTTTAACAGATGCTTCATAAATTCATGGCATTTAAAAAATTAAGAGGCTTTTCAAAAATAGGACAGGTAATCCAGAAAAAAGATAGGTCTCATGGCGGAGAATAAAAAATACATTAGACACATAGTATGAATAGCAGAAAAGGGGATGACAGCAAACGTACCTTGGAACAGCTCCTAAGACAATGAGGTTGGCTTTCTGCTTGTTGTTTCCAATTACAGCATTTTTCATGTCTCTGAATTCAGGGGAAGAGAAAAGAGTAAGGTATGTTGAGACAGCACAGAAAACTCAAAGATCATTTCTTTCCATTTTATCTTTACTATGCAACATCTTAGATTGGCAAGTATAGAAGTCAGTGACAAAGTCAAAGCATTGACCCTTTTCCACTAGAGTGCCAAAGAGAAGGGATAGAAGTAGATGCTGAGTAAACCCGGGGCTACAAAGCAGGGGAGTAGAGGAGTGGGGGGAGAGGGAGATATCCTGAGTACTGGCCAAGGACTTCCAACACACACACACACACACACACACACACACACACACACAACTGAGTTCTTCAAAAAAGGCCACCAAACCTTTGAATAGAAAGAAATATAGACCACCTTCTCACTCACAGATCTGGGAGTGGAGAGTAAAAGCAGCCAGCCCACAGAAAGCATCTGACCTTGATTCAGGGAGAATGACTTTGTTAACTCTTTCTGACTCCTTCTGAATGTTTTTTATGATTCCATTTTATCTCCTTTATTGTTTTATTAGCAGTACCTCCTTGGGTTTTGTTCTATTGTTTTTTTAGTGGTTGCTTTATAATCTACGGATGTATCTTTTAACTTATCAGTCAATCTTCAAGGGATATTACCCCATTTCATGTGCACTGTAAGGGCCTTACAAGTATATACTTCCACTTCTCCATTCTTTGTGCTGCTACTGTCACATGTTTTACTTTTAAATTAGAAACAACAGAATATATTATTACTATTTTTGCTTAAGCAGCCAATTATCTTTTAAGGAGATTAAAAAATAAGAAAATAATCGTCATATTTCTCATGTACTCACCAGTATTTTTTATTCTAGCTATACTCAGATCTTTACTTCGCCAGGAATAAAACTTTATTCCACAATAAAAGTACCCCTATCAATGACCAACTGGTTCACAAACACGCAGTTGGTCCCAAAGGACAGGTGGAGAAAAAATAAATTGCTCAAAATAAACCTCATACTACTAATAAAATGTTTAATAAAAAATACTTACCCTAATTGGTCAGCGGTGCTATCTTAACATAGAACACTGGAACACTATGTGATTCTATACAGCAGTGGTTCTCAAAGTGCAAAAGAGGACATTACAGCCCCCTAGGGGTTTTTCAGAAGTGTATGAGGTTATGTGGAAGTTTCTGGTCATAGTTTTTACAAACAAACAATTTTTTGCAGTTAAAAAAACCCACAAAACTGTATTTTTCAGGGTTGTACCTGCACTGTAAATAAAAGGGAGATTATACTTTTTGTTAAAAGTTATTTCCCTTTCGAAAATCAGATCACTAGCACAGTGGCACTCGTATTTGACTCATCAATACCATACACTACGTTAGTCCATATTTGCAGCTCTTGCCTTCACACTACTTCATTAAGCTCTCTAACATAGCCATGCCTAAGCATTTACATAGTGAAACATTCTAATTATCTTCTTTTACATTTTTCCTTTATATTATATGCAGGGCAGGCATTTTTGGAGTTATGTGCGTGAGTAGGCTATATTATTATGGATTTAATCTCAGCAAAGTACAGGGGGTGTTACAAAATATTTATAAGGGAAAGTCAGGTCTGAGAGCATTATAAGACCAATGCTATTGCTATATAGCCTCCACGTTCTTAGCACACCCATTTCTTTCATATCCCAAAGTAAGTTCCCCAGAGAGTCGTCCAGCATCCCTTTTGAATTCCCCTCTTTTAGGCAGCAGAGCTCTATAATATATAGGGACTTTTTGCCAACCCTGAAGAGTTACAATCCTGAAAAAGTTCTATAGTTGGCAAACCATAATCTTGTAGAAAAGCAGAGTAGAAAACAGAGGGGGCGGGGGAAAGTTCCTTTTAAAATATCAACAACTAGGACTG